GTCGCTCAGTGGCGCTTGGGGCGGACGGACTTGCGCTGGAACGTGATCTTCGACGAGCGCTCCTTGCGGGCGGCACGCACCTTGTTCATGTGGTTCACCGTGAACGCCATCTTGCGTGCGCGGCGGAAGGCCACGTTGGCGAGGTCGGGGCGCACCGCGGCGACGGCCTTGCTCACAGCGGAGGCCTTCACGCCGGCGTCCATCACGGCCTTCTGGTACATCGACTTGGGCTTGTTGCCCGCCTCGCCGTTCTTCGTCGTCACGACGATGCGGTCGCCCTTCGTCTTCACCACGGCGGCCTTCGTGTTCAGGAAGCCGGCGTGGCGCTTCGTCCAGTTCGCGTTGTTGTTGAAGGGATCGCTGCTGAGGCGGATGCCGTTGCGCTTCTGAAGGAACTTGCTGTTCTGGCGAACCACCAGCCACTGAAGATCGGTGGAGTGCGTCATGGCTCCTCAAGATATCGGGACCCTTTGTTGTTTGGGGCGTGCACGGGGATGCCAAGCCAAGAGAGAAACAAAGAAAAGTCAACAAGGAAAAGGAGCCGCGCAGAAAAGATAGACGTCGGGGAAGACAAGGGGTCAAGAGTCTCAATGAAAGAACAAAATCACCGTTCGCAAAAGTGGTGGGTACACGTGGGCCTCGTCAGCCGCCCCACCGTCGTTACTTCAAGCAGAGGAGGGGGGAGGGAACGACGGGTTCTACCACCGTCAGTCGGGCAGGAGCCAGTTTCAAAAAAGCAACAACGGAAAAGCAAAGAGTACCGCCCAGCCATGTTGCCTTCCACTGCCGCGGTGTCCTTGTGCATGCTAAAAGGCCAGCGCGGTGTGAGAAAACCGGCCCTTGTGACTTACGGTGAATGGAGAAGATGGGAAAGAAGAAGGCGAAAACCATCGGCGGAAGAGTGAGGTGCAAGTCTCAGACCAAAACAGCACCGAACACAAAGGAGGGTTGAAGGGCAAACTCAAACCCATTCACCACACACACACAGAGAGAGAGAGAGAGCGAGAGAAGTGCGAGGCACACACGTGTAAATAAAAGCAAGATAAAGGTAAAGGAGACAAAAAAAAAATGATACCTTCATTTTGTACTTGGCATTGTGTCAGTTTCCTCTGCATACCCTCCTCATTGGCTGCTCTAATAATGGGTGTATTCCCCGGCACTCTCCTTCTGGGATGCAGGCTCGGATCGCCGACGCAGGCAGGCGGGCGGGCGGGGGGTCCTGCTGTGGATTAACCCCCCGCACTGCCCCTGTTGCCCCTGGCGGCCTCATCACACAGCCGCCTTTTATCCCGTGCCCGCCTCTTCCTGCCCTGCTTCTCGCTTCTCCACTTCCTCTCTTTTATTTACTACAGACAACGTAATCCCTCCTCTGCACAAAAACGAGTAAAAAAAAAAATTCAAACACCGCCACCCCTTTTTGTTTTCCTTTTGAATTTTCCTTCCGCCTTCTAAATGCCTAATTTTCCCATCCTCGAATTTTTGGTTTTTTTTTTCCGTACTCTTGCTCGCTTTCCTTGTCGGTTTATTGACGCCTGTGAGGTGTTTCTGCTCCCTTGCCAGTCAGCCCTCTGCAACGTACGGCTTTTGTTTTTGTTCTTGTTTTGACGCCAGCGGGGTTGGTCCAGAGCACGTTTCCGCTTTCTTCGTGCCGCTGCCCCGTATTCCCGGAGTTCGGCGTGCGGAGCTTCCCCAGCCGCAAACAAACTCGCCCCAAGCGCCCCACCCCCCCACCCCCTCCCCCACACACACACATACAAAAGACACACCACCCATCCGGATTTCTCCCTTTACCCCTCCGCCCCTCCCGAGCTGTTCCCCTCCTTGCCGCTGTTATTATTAGTATTCTCATCATAAGAAAATATATATATATATATATTTCTTTTCTTTGTGCCTCTTAAGCGCACCCCTTGTTCCCCTACCCCTTCTTTTGTGTGGTTGCCTGCCTCAGCCTCACGAAGACAGCTTCTTCTTGCGGAAGTACTTCACGCGGCACTGGCTGGACGTGGGACCGACGACCATCGTGTGGTAGTCGGGTTCCGGGACCTCCTCCCGCAGCAACTGGAAGTCGTAGTCGCGGAAGGCAGTGGCAAGAACCGTTTTGACCTGCAACAGACCAAACTTCTGCCCAATACATTTGTGCACACCGGCACCGAAGCCGACAAAAGCCCCCTCAATCTGCTCCTCACGCTCCGGATCCCACACGCGTGGATTTGGGAACGCCTCCTCGTCCTGGTGTGAGAGCAAGGGTGAACAGGCGATGATATCGCCTTTAGGAACCACGTATGGGCCAACCTTCACCTCGGACTTTACCATGCGCATGAGCATTAAGAGTGGAGGATCACGGCGAATAGATTCCCGGGCGCAGCGCTCAGCAAATGGCATCTCATCCATGACATTATCATAGTTCAACTGTGCCGGGAATTCGTTAATCTCCTTACGCAACTTTTCCAAGTGTCTCTTGTTCTTTGGGTGCATGAGATGCAGCATAGACCAGGCCGTGGTGATAGTCGAGGTGTGCTGACCTGCAAACATGGCGGCAACGATCATGCCACACACCTCATGAAGCGACATGGGGGTGCCGTCACGGTACACGGCTTTAAGAAGCCCAGCCAAGAGGTCCGAGGTGTTGGCATCTTTGCTCGCCTCCTCCTTCTCCCGGGCAATAATAATCTCGCTCAAAATTGACTGAAGTTCTGCGCGAGCCTCTCGGCAGCGAGCCGAGTGTGGCAGGGGCAAACGCAGCAGCCACGGAACAAAGACAGCGGCGGGGATTAGGCTGCTTTCCATCTTGGCCAAAAGCTGAGCAAATTGTCGGGCATTCAGGCGTTTGCGAAGATCCTCGCCAAAGAGGCACTGACAGGCCGTGTTGATGATCATGGCACTACAATCCTCGAGAAGGTTGATCTCCCCCTCTTCCTTATTCCAATTCTCCGCCATGAACTTGCGAACCTCGTGCTGGATCGCAGGGACAAAGTTCTGAAACTTCGCAATGGTCAATTCCTCCGCGAGGATGTTCAGCTGCTCCCGCATCCTCGGGTACGTCGCGGCGTAGGCGACGCCCTCGCCAAACACGGGGACCATGAAGCTGTACACCTCACGTGGGGAGAGGATCTCATTGCGGGGCAGGAAAAACCGGCTATGCTCACGTGGATCGCCCACAATCGTCAGACGTTTTCCCGCAATGTTGATGGTGAAGATACCAGACTTAAGCTCACGCTTGCATCGCTGCATAAACCCCAGCGGGTCATTGCCGAACTGCACAAGGTGCCCTACAAAAGGCACCGACACAGGATACACGGGCGGGTCTGTTGGCCGGGTAGTGTTGAATGACTTGACAAAGTACACCGAGTACAGCACAAGAGCCGTAAGGCCAAAGATGAGAACCTCAAAAAACATTTTGACGCTTATCACCCCAATAGTTGCGTATTTGTGTGGGCGTCACACTGTTCTCTTCGGTTTTTTTTACTTTTCTCTTGTTAGTTTAATTCTTGTATTTTATGTCTTTTTTTTCTATTTCTTTTACTTCCTTGCGCATGCGCAACGAGAAGGTGGGGGAAAGCAAGCAATCAGCGGGCAGGCAAGAGAATACCCACGGCGGTTGTATTTTTATGCTGCACCTCCCCGACATGACGGGGGGCACGCCACGCACAGACACACGCGCATGGTGGGTGCGTGGATGGGGGGCGGGGAGACGCCGGGCCGCAGCCATATCGTGTCAAGAGACGCAACACCGCCGAAGGGGAAGTATAAACTTAAGCAGAACCCTCAGCTGCCTTTGCGCGCCGTGAAGAGGAGACGCGGAGCGACGTTGCAAAGAAGGTTGGCCTTCCAGCCCCAATGACTGAAAAGCAGGCGGAAACACACTCTTGCACACGGGCACAGAGCAAGACTGTTGGCAAAAGCAAATGAAAAAAAAAAGCAAACAAAAAACGACGACGGCGACAACAACAAGGAATACTCCGAGGGCGGGGCGTGACCCAGGCAAACACCACACCGTCGGCAGACCATCTTCACATGCCAAGTTGCGGCAGCAACAATATAAATGGTCCCCACAAAACAAAAACAAAAAAACAAGGGACGATGTTCCCCTCCTACGTATCCAACTTTCCATTCCAGGGGTTTGTTCCCTTCTTTGCTCGATGCTTCTAAGATAGCCACTCACACCCACGCGCGCGCGCGCGTGCACACACAAACACACATACAGAGCGGTTAAAGCAAAGACAGGGACAGAGGCCATTGGCAGCCAATGGTACCCGCATTGGCCCCTTCAATAGGCACACGTAAAGAAATAGCGTCCAGCGCCTCACTCCCTCTACTCGCGCCCAAAAATATACCGTATTGGGCTTGATTTTCTTCTTACTCCTCTTTCTTCTTACTCTTCCTAAGCAGCAGCTTCTTCATGCGCCTGGAGCTCTTTAACAGCCCCGGCTGAAGCACCGTCCCATTGGGAATCCCGCACGACTTGCCGCCGCTTTCGCATGATGTATTCAAAGGTTGTCATCCCGAGGCGACGCAGCATGATGTGGAAGCCAAGCAGCTGCACGAGAGGTGGCACCGCAGCCAGCATGAGTACGCAGAGCACGAGAGGGGCAATGCGAAAGAACCACGAGTACGCCGACAGTTGCGTCCACCATTTTGCCAAAAGAACAACACCAGAGATAAACGCCAGCAACATGCTGAGAAGCGCAGAAACGATGAAGCCAATAAAAAATCGGTAATTTTTCTCCCCAATGCACACATTCAGCCATTTGCAGTGGTGATCAAATCCACTAATGCACTTGTTGCACGCTTTACAGTGCCTGGAAGTCAAGTTTGTCAGCCGTCGACAATAGGCACATGATTCCCCCTCATTTGAGATATCCCCGTTTTCGCGAAAAGACAATATACCCCACAAAATGCATGTTGACAGAATAGCCGATCCTGTGAGAGGCACGAGTACCGCCAACTCGGGCAAACTGCTCAAGTATCCACCGTGGCGATACAGTAGACAGTAGGACGGTACGACCGAAATCCAAAAAAGGAAGGTACTAAGCGCCGTCACACTCAAAGCAATTATCTGCAAATAATGAAGCGGCCACTGAAAGGCGTGCCGCCGTCGAGGAGCAAACTGCCAGCTGTCTGGGACTGAACGATCGACACAGCACGATGCACATGGTGGGTTGGAGTAACTCCGCATAAACGATGCCCCGCCACTGTCCGACTCCGAAGCGTGCACAGTCCTCAGTGTTTCCTCCATTGGGGAGTAGCTACCACGCGAAGATCCACGCATCCCATGTGGTGCAATCTCTGGAGATGGGGGAACACACTGCATCACAGGATCCATGTATTCTTCTTTCTCCACCATGAGTACAGGGCGTTCACCATACTCCGTGTTAAACACCTCCCGTGGGCACCACTGTTGCCTCCCCTTAGTAACCAAGACACGGGGAACCGGGTCAGCATTTTCATTGGGTTTGGCCAGGGGCGAATACATACCCTCACGTGGCGCAGCATTCTTCGCCAAACAGGGCTCGTAGTTGTCATTCATGCTTGACCCCTTTTTTTCGATCCCGTCTCCTTCCTGTACTCCCTCCTCGCGAGACTTGACACCACTGCGTGACACTCTATGATGCAGGGGCAACACCGCCGTCTCGTCCCTCTGTGCGCCATTGACGTGGACGGGGACTGGCAGCTGTCTACGTCCGCCAGTAGTGACAAAAACGTGCCTCATCAGATGCCCCTGCTGAGTTGCGCGCCTAGATGGGGAACATCGCGGATCGGAGGCGAAGTTGTCTGCATCCGACTCTTGGCCATCAAACACGGACGTCCTGGGAGGCGTCCCAGAATGGCCCATTCTTTTACTTCTTTTCGTCCTTTCCTCTTCCACCCGCCCCCGCTCAAGTGGAGTCTCCATTACCACCTCAGTCACCTGACTCTGCTGATAAGAGCTGGAAGAGAGGTCTACGCCATTTACTGTCGGATCCCGGCTGTCAATGTTTACCGCGCTCACGGCCGGTGCCAACGTCATCGCCTTCAAACCCTCACTGGCGCGCACACTGCTCCTCCTGTGACCGTGTTTGTGGTGCTTGTGCCGCCTATTTCCCTCGACGTCAGCGTCTGTGCCGGGCACAGCGGCGTCGTCGCTCGCCCTCGAGTGGTGGTGGCTTCGTCGATGTCGGCGATGGTGTTCCTGCCGCTGCCTACTCGTCTCCCCCTGCTCCGCCGTTGCCAATTCTATCCTGCTGTCGCTGAGCCACGAGCCCAGCCGCCGGCCGCTGCCCCCAGCCGTGCGTTGCGCCGCGCCGACGCTTGTGACTTGCGGGGGGGAATGGGGGCGGGCGTGTGACGAGGAGGAGCGGTGCAGCGAAGCGCCGGCCGCCGCCTCCTCCCTTGACGGCCCCCCGGCTGACGAGGGAAACCGCCACTCCTTGCCGTTGGGCTGTACCATCGCTGCGCCGCCGCGGCTTGGTGCCGGCCACGTTGGCTCCCTCCGCCCCGGGGTGCCCCTGAAAGCGTCAACTCCCCTCCCTTCCTCTCCTCCTTCCCGCCAGTGTGGAGGGGATGCGGCGGGGCGAGCTTCGCTCAACGCGTGGGTGGTGGCGGTGAAGGTCTCACACCTCCTCTGCGCCGGAGAAAAAAAGAGTGGGAAGGAGGAGGCGCAGGACAGATTGACCCTCCGCCCACGATTGGGTGGCGGTGCGTGGGGGAGGAAGGAGAGAGCAACAGCCGGAGAGTGGAAAAGAGAAGGAGGGAAGCAACCGGCCCACGCGCGCGATAACACCCGGCACGCGGAGAAGTCACAGCGGCGAGACAAGGCAGTCAAACAGATATCGCACAGGGGCGGCCACCCAGCAAAACCAAAAAAAAAATATAGAAAACCTCACCAGTGAAGGGGGAAACGGAAAGGTAGAAAGGAAATTCACAGAGTTCGCACAGCGACGAACGGGCTCTCCTCCCCACTAGACACCAGTGACAATAACACTGCGCGTGTGCAGTTACATGTACATTATAAAAACAAATAAACGGCCAACACAAAAACTTTGCGCCACCTGTGGCGGGAAGGAAAAAGAAAAAAACGTGCGCGCATGGTTGTGCATGCGCGTGTGTGTGTTTTTTCTTTTTTTCATTTTCAGCACAACTCGCCCACACATCGCACACAAAAAAAAGGAGGGAAAATCGCTTAATGCAAATAAAAAAAAAGTGGTAAAAAAATCACATTTATTTCACACAAATCCCTTCAGTACGCGCATACTCGCCTCATGGGCCCCTGCAATCGTACGCCACATGAGGGCAGAAGAAAAAAAACAAAAACAAAAACAAAACTTCCACTACCCACACCTTCCCGCACTTCTGCTTCGTGTGCGTTTGAGTGCATGAATAAGCGAGGAGGAGAGGAAAGGAGAGAGGGAATAAGCCCTCGCCCTCCATATGCTCCGTGCACGAAGCACATGAAAGAAGAAATGCTTTTCAAACATCGAGGTGAGTACGGCGAGTAGCACTGCCTCTAAGTTGACAGGCTAGAATAAAGCTCACCAGGCAAGGGTAAGGTTAAAGCAGGCGGCTTCACACTGTTCGGCCCTCGCTTTCGGATATCGCATACGCTGAGAGAAAGTGCGTCTGTCAGTGATTCGCCCAAGCCACGAACTTCGTCAGAAGAACAAGCTGGCGCTGAGCAGGCCAGGGCGGGAGGATGATCGTAATGCTCCATCGAGTCATCCACCGAAGAGTTCTCCGTCAAAACCCCGCATGTCCTCCCACTGCAAGAGCCAAGCTCCGCGTTGTCTGAAGTGTGTGCAAAGGAGGGGCTGATGCAATTCCAACATGGCGAGACACTATCGATTTCGGTGGAGTTTTCTAAGGAAAGTCGGGGACTTTCTCGCCTCTGCTGCACGCGCCTCTTCCAGGGGAATTGTGTCATGACAGAGCTGGCGCAACTCTCACTCAGGCGCCGTAAGCGCAACGCCTCGTGGGGAGGCGTCAATTCCGCATGAGCTGGCGTCTTTTTGATATTCAACGGTAATGGTAAATAGGCATCGCACAACATGGAGGTAGTTCGCTGCTTTCTGCAGAAGTGGCCCGCCTCGTCCAAGCCAGCGAGCAAGCAGTGCTGGTAGACTACCGAAGCCTCCGTCTCGTGGTTGGTGGCGCAGTCAGCCGCCTCTTCAGTCAGCAGCCCCAGCAGAATTTCAGTGGCATCAATATCCATCTCCCGCTGGCACCCGTGCAACTCAGACGCCGACCACGCAATATCCGCCGCAGAGGCGAGTGGCGGGGCCGTGCCGTCCACCGCCTCTTCCGGCCATGCAGACGAAAACGACAACGATAGGGTTAGGGTTAGGGGAGGCGAAGTTAGCGGCTGTGGGACAGCCGGAAAAGCGTGTACTGCAATGCGCCTCAGCGTGTCACGCCACAGACGGAAGCTTCCAATGGGCAAAGCCATCCACCAAAGAAACATCTGCATAAACACACCTTGCCATTCCTTTCGCTTTCTTAGCCTTAAATTTGGATTTAGTACTCTCAATAGAGGGAAGTTGCCGTGTGAGCCGGAGACCCACTTCGTCAGCATCATTGTGCGCAGCAGCAATGTCACCATCGGAGTCAAGAGGCCTCCCTGTGACGCCGTAAAGCACTTCTGCGGCGTTGCAGAAACCCCCATTGATCCATTCATAAATATATTCATCAATTTGGCATCGCACGCCAGCAATTTCGTCAACAACGTGCGGAGAACCGTTGTACTGCGCTGCATCCAAGTCCGGGCCGTATCCCCGCTCCTGCGACGCGCAACGCAGCATATTGCACACTCGTAGGCATGTAGCACCCGAAGGATGGTGGCGTACAATAGACTTGAGTGTGCCTCGGAACGCCGTGTCCCACTGAGATGCGTCGGCTCTCGTCCCCCCTCCCGCCCTCGAATCAAAAACCGAATAAGAAGCAGTACCTCCAGGAGAAGCACCGCGTGCCGGGCCGCACTTACAAAAAGCTCAAGCCATGGTCCACCATCATCAGTGCCGCCTTCTTGCAGGTATTCAAACGCCCTAACTACAGCTCTACTAACAACTAGCATCAGCGTGAGGCTTCGCCCCTGTTCCGCACCTCTGCGTCGCGGCGTCGCACCGTCCGAGCGAGGGCCCCGGCGCACGTTGAAGACGGCGACGGCGTCAACAGTTTCCCCTCGCGGAGGCGTCGCAGTGCAAGTTTCGGCAGGCGTCGTGCGAAGCGATCGCGCGGTGTCCAATGCGGCGTCCAACTCAACACCCATGAGCAGTTGGAACAGGAACAATGAGCGGCTCCAGAGGGACGAAGCGAGGAAGTCTTCGATGTGGGTCCGCGCCTGACAAAAATGGAGAGGCGTTACGGGTGCCAAAATGTTGGTCTCGGCGTCTTCGTCGATGGCGTCGTAGGCTGCAAGAGTCCGGCCAAGTTCCCCCTCCCCCGCGCCCATGCAAAGGCCGGACGACAAGCAGCGCAGTATGATGCCCACCCCCTTCGCTCTGCTCACTAAGGCGACTACTCCTCTCTCGTCTGTATTCGCGGCCGTCACGCAACCGGCGGCCGCCCATGCGTCCGCGGACGACTTTGTTCCCCCCGCCTTCGCTGCCATTGACCAGGCGCGTCACAGCAGAGTGCCGGCTCAAGAAACAACGTTCTCCCTGTCTGTGCGGCGAGCGAAAGTAAAAGAGGAAAAGTGATGAATATAAAGGCAGAAAACTCCAATCCTCTCTCGTGGTGCCCCTGTGCACCTCCGCTCGCTCTCCGCCTCACTCGCCGCTGGGCAGAGACCGCCACGCAAAGGGCACAGCCACTCCCTATTCCACCCGCTTGCCTCTTCTTCTTTTTGTTGTCCTTCTTAAGTTTCCTTGGCTGCTGAATGCCGTTTTTCGTACGTATGTGTGTGTGTGTGTGTGTGTGTGTGTGCGTCGCTACTCTCCTTTTTTGAGGCACCGCGCCTCACCACCAGTCTCTTCCCTCGCCAAGCAGATGTTAAATGTGCCAGTATTCTGCCGCGCGGTTTCTTCAGAACCAAGCACTGTGCGTATACTGCGGCAATGCCGCTTGTTATGTGAGCGGGGTTGGTCTTCCCTTGCTTTTTTTTTTGCATTCCGAGTGGTGCACACGGCACACCGCCCCACGCACATGCACGGGGAGACATCCACCGAGCGAAAAAAAAAAAAGAACATCGGAAGAAGCGAAACTGAATGCTCAGGCGCACATACAACACGCACTAGAGTAAAAAGCAGGGGGAGCCATGCACTTGGACTTCCCCACAAAGACACGACGCACCCTCCAGGTCCATGCGGCGGCAGCGATTGCCAAATACACACCAGGGCGCAAAGCACTCTGCAAGAATAAAGAAGAAAAAGCCAAAGAAAAAAAGGGATTGGGGAGGGGTGTGCACACCGAAAAGCCACAGCATCGAGAAAAAGAAGCGCCGTGGAAAGCACACAGCAGTAGAGGATTGCTGTTGCGAGTGTAGCGGAACGCCACAAGCCGCATTTGGTGACCCAGAAAAAACATTACAGTAAGTAGGGCGTCCACTTTCGTTTCGCTTCTGCCCACAGTTTTACCGCTTCTTCTGCTTCTCTCTTAATTCTCCTGGTGCCGGGTTGTGGACAAGCACATCTTTCCCTCCCCATTGCTTCCGGCAACTTCTGCCCCGCCGTTCCCCCTCCGACGCGTCAGTCTCCCGCAGCTCCCCGAGAACAGCAGCGCTGTCCCCGCCCGCACAGGTGCATGCCCAAAGGCAGTAGGCAGCAGCGACAAGCCGGTGCCCCCGCCTCTTGCCCAAAGTAAACACGCAGCTGTCAAGAGGCAAGTCAGCAAAGGAAGAAGCGAAAAAGGTGAATGTAAGAAGAAATGCATGTGTAGAGGTAAATGTAAGAAAGGGTTAAGGCCGTTTCTTTCGGCTTCGTTTTTGGTTGCTAAAAATTGCAACCCCAAATACCCAGACGCACGCATGCACCTAGTTCCTCCTCCTTGCGCTGCCACTGCCTCTGTTGCCGATGTCATTGTCTTCCTTGCGGGCTTACATGGATATTCAACTTCTCTTCGGTCCCCCCTCCCTCCCCTTCCTCCACTTTTCAGTTGCTTCTCTCTCTCTCTCTCTCTTTCGTCTTAAGTTACCGTTCGGTACCTTCGTATTCAGTTACTTAGCCTACTTCATTCATCTCCTTTTTTTTTCTTTCCCTTTTCTTGAGGCATCTCCTCCTGTCCATTTTTTTATTTTCTTTTTTTCCTTCGTAACGGCATGACATGACCCCCCCCCTTTCCTTTTCACCGTGTTGTTAACTCCCTCCGTCCCCCACACCGTCAGACCCCGCGCCGCCCCACGCACAGAGAAGCAATACATTTATACATATAAATGTACATGAAGAGGGGTGGACAGAGGCATCCGCGCACACAAACACACACACACACGCCTACTGGACAGGGCGGGGTGCGACGGTGGGGGGCGCAGGGAGGGAGACGTGCAGCGGGAGGGGCGAACGACAAGCGCACACGTCAGCGTGTGTGGGCCCCCATCACCCGCAGAAAGGCAGCCAAACATATATATATATATATATATATTTGTTTTCCCCTGCGCCGCGCGCAGCTGCCACGCACCGTGCACCTGCGAGTGTCTGTTGGCGATGACGGCGGTGCTGAAGAAAAATGCTTCGGTGCTGCTGTTGCTTCTGTTAGGGGGCGGGAGGGGGAGAAAGGCCTCGTTTATATCTCCCTCGCGTTTTCTCTTTGGGCCTCTTGCTTATCCCTCGCCTCCTCCCACGCAAAGACGCACACACAATGTGCTCGCTCCCCGCTCGTTGCTCCCTTCTTCTTCTCCTTTTTGTTTTTGTTTGTGTTGCTTTATTTTCTCTTTTCTCTCTTTTTTTCCGTCTTCTTCGGCGCGCTTCACCGGAACTTAGCCCTGCCGGCCCGCCGCAACACCACCGCCCCGCCAGCGCCGGGTGCTCTAGGCATTTACGCAACCTTCTGCTTGAGGAAGCCGTAGCCCAAGTCCTTGCCCTCCTGCTGGAGGATTTCAAAGTACTGGTTGATCATTGTCACGGCCAGGAGAATCCCTGTGCCGCTACCGATGGCGCCAAGAAAGTCCGCAAAGATGGTGAGTGCCCCGACGCAGAGTCCACCGAAGCTTGCCGCAACAGGGATGTACTTCTCCAGCAGACGCGCCATATCCTCCTCGCTCTCACGAGCCTGCGCGAGCCAGCGACCCTCTGCCACAAGCCGTTTTGCCACATCGCGTGGGCCAGTGTGGCTGATCGTCACCCACAGCTTTGAGAAGAGGGCGCATGAGAAGAGGATGAAGACGACGTAGAAGATACCGTGGATGGGGTCATTCAGCAGCTCATAGAGGGTGGCGGGGGGCGTGAGGTAGTACGCGAGACCACCCACTGGGAACAGCTGACCGCTCTGGCTGTACGCACGCTCCTCCCAACGACCAAGGAGGTTGATGAGAAAGTTGTGTTGTCCAAAGCGGCGGGAGAGAATCTGTGAGAAGAAGTTGATGTTTGACACAACGCTGGCCTGGAGAATAATGGGCATGTTGCTGGTGTAGAAGAGCTTGATCATGTACGGCTGACGATCAGCACCGACGCTGCGTGACTTGGTCATGAGCGGCACGCGGAATCCCTGAAAGAAGACAACAACGGCGAACACCACAAGTGTGGCGAAAATGTTGGTGAGGTTCGGCAACTGTGGACGGTAGAAGGCCTCCTTCAGCGCCCGCACCTTGTCGGAGCGCGACACCAAGAGATGAAAAAAGGCGATGATGGCGCCCTCAAACTCCGCACCACGGCCGGTGTTGATGGTTGACGGGGAGAAGCTCTTCCAGATGATGGTGTCACAGATGTTTGTGGCTATGAAAAGTGATGTGCCGGCGCCAAGGCCCCACCCCTTCTGCAGCAGCTCGTCCAGCAGAATGCAAATGAGTGTGGCTGTCATAAGCTGCACGACGATGAAGCCACACATGATGGTGCCAATCTCCCGCACATCTCCGTACATGCCAGAACTGACGTACGCCAAGGCCTCAACGGCGGTGATGACGAGAGCCGCAATTTTCTGAATTCCTTCAAAGACAGCACGCTCCTTCTTATTGTTCACATCGTAGGTGATTAGCCTCACCCCCGAGAGCAGCTCCATGATCAGTGAGGCGGTGACAATGGGCGAAATACCAAGCTCCATGAGTGTCCCCTTGTTGCTAGCCAGCACCACACGCATCCAATAAAAAGGATCGCTCGCCTGGCCGGGACGGGCACCGTACACAGGAACCTGGCAGCAAACCAGAAAGATGAAGAGTGCAGCTGCCGTCCACATAATACGTTCTTTAATTGGCGGGAGACGCTGCGGGCGCGACACCTCCGGGAGGAGCGCCAAAAGAGGCTGCGCCATCATCATGTAGTTCGTCATCTCCAGGACGCCAATTTATTTCCCTTCTCGTATAAATAAATTTGTATCGCCCTTGACTGTTGCTCGCGTGTGTTTGGCCGGCGCCCGCCCTTCGGGAAGCCACCAAATCCCTCACTTTCCTCCCAGGCGTTGCGGCCGCGGAGAAAAATAAATAAATAAATAACGAAGAGTGACGAGAAAGAGAGAGAAAGGAGGAAAAACAAAATAATAATAATAATAATAATAAATGTGGTGTGGCGTCGGACGCAGAGCAGACACGGTCACTGCCTGTCACGCCGCAAGAAGAAAAAAAAAGGTAAAATGCAGGCACGCCCACACCGCTGCGGTGCCCAAGCGACGACGTCCCCAGCAAAATCCAGAGGATTGCTGATATTAGCGACGATAATAAAACAAACAAGAAAAAATCGCTTGTCTACCCACCACCACCACACACACTATATATATATATACGTGTATGTATGTGTCTGTGTGTGTGTGTGTACATGTGTATCCTGCCACTTCCCCTTCCCCCCCCCCTCTCCTCTCAACGAGTCGTGCGCACCCGCTTTGATTGTATTCCGCCGCCGTGGTTTGTCGCCGCCGTCACTTCCAGCACCGACCGTTGGTTAGGGAGTCGGGGGCGCAGTTGCGGGACAAGACGCTCCATGGAGGCAAACTGCTAAAAACGAGACAGGCAGAAGCCTACCCGGAGATGAACAACGGCCAAACCTCTGCCGCCGCGCCGTTAGGCCTGGCGAAGGGCCAGCGGCTGGCGACGGTGAAAACACACACGCCGCGCCTCGCGCAGAGGCGCACGGGAGAGACGAAAATAAGGCAAAAATCAAAAGAGAGGGGAAGACGCAAAGAACGCGGAAAAAAAAACGAGCCTTCACCAAGACCCACATTGAAATGAGACGGAGGCTGGTGTCAGCGTGTGGGCGAAGAGTGGAAGCAAAAAGCGACCCACAAAAATGTGTCGACAAGCTTCCGCTTATGTGTATTTATGTATTTATGTGTGTCACGCCATGTGCGTGAGTGCGTGATGGTGTGCGTGATAGCGTGTGTGTGTGCCAGCCAGCGCGCGTGCCGTGCAGGCGGACAGTAGAAAAAAAAAAAAAGCCCGCCGTGATAACTCCCTCCACCACTCCGCGAAACGGCAAGCCCATGAGGGTGCCTGCGGTACGGGAGTGGGCCCGGGGGAAGCAAAGCAAAATAACGTGATGGAATCCACGGATGCAAAAAAAGAAAACAAATACAAATACAAATAAGTACAAACAAACGTGGTTGGAAGAAAAACAAATAAGAGACGATGGGGAGGCATGTTGGAATCAGGCATGCAGAAAAAAAAAACGACATATTCACCCACCCGTCAGGATCGCACATAAACAGAAAAACCGCAGGGGATTGAAAGCAACTCGCAGAGCAAAAAAATAAAATAAAAATAAAAATAAAAATAGTATCCCGCAAAACAACAATAAAACTACGGCTGCCTCCACAGTTATTCGTTGCCATCCACCACCTTCCTTGCCTTCACGAGGGTCAAGCCCCATGGTACTGTATTGCGGCCTGTGCGATTCATCTCGGTGCCCCCCTCCCCCGCCCCGACTCTTCCTCGTTTCCAAGCCCCTCCCATACTCACACACACACACACACACACGACGGAGGCAGGCCGGAACGAATGCAGAGAAGGGGACGGCAACAGTACGAAAAAGAAAAAAGAAGTAAACAGCAGCCAACATCCACCTGCATGCCTCCCTCTCCCTCCATCGCTCTCCTCAGAACCTCTCCCACTGACGCTGCCATACTATTTATGCATGTGTGTGAGAGAAAAAGAAAACTAAAAATAAATAGCACACAGTTCTGTGTAAGCGCTTGTAAATATATAGCGTAGATGCGCCAGTTCGTACTCAACGCATGAAGAAGAAATACGAAAAGGAGGAAAACAATGTGCTGACGGGTTTTCATTCTGCCCTTGCCTTGTGTGGACGACGACGGCGCCTTGTGTCCTCGCGCGCAAACTGCACGCTGAGCACTGGCGCCAAATTCGGCTGCCTCCGCAGCCACACCAGGCACCTTCGCGCATCTCCGGATCTCTCGAACCGCAAAAACCCGGACCGGCTGGAGTACGGCACATACGAACGAACCCCAGCAAAACGCTCCGAGAAGAAGTTGCAGCTCAGGATCGTCTCCACTATTGCATCCTCAGTGTCGCCACCTTCGCTGTTGTCGATCGGCGACAATAAAACTGGCGATATGGACGCTTCATCCACTACGAACTCACTGCAGACTGGATCTTCTTTATCCGAGGCGGGTGGCGGTACTGCGTCATCCAAACTCGTTGCAACTGTCATTTGCTGAGTGAGTGGCGTCCCCCCCAATGGGATTTGCCTCACACAACACTTTTGGTGCCGGTGGTGGAAGCGCGACCACCCCTCGGGAGAGAGACTTCGTAGCTGCGGCCCTTGCTGACTCCGCGGCTTGCGTCGATTGCGATATTGCAAGCATGGAGAGGCTTCAGAGTCCCTAGTCGCTGCACCGATTCTATCTCCCTCTCTTCGGAAAGACGCGCCCGGACTCAGCGAGGACGGTGAAACCTCGCGTCGACGACGCTGTCCATTGCCTGTAACCCGCAAAAAAAGTGTACTGCTGGGGAGATCCTTGTCATCCAACACCGCCGACGCAAGAGTAGAATCCCACGCTCCCCGTTGAGAGACTTTGTCAGGCGACAAGAAGGGCGTGTTGCGTGCGAGAGAGGACCCAGTGCCCCGCTGACCCTGAGGGCAGAGAGTTTTTGATTCTCGGCGGCGACATCCAGTTGAAGCTGTCTCTTGCGCAGGCTCCCAACCCCTTAGTGGGCACCCCGCCGCGGTTTCACTGCGTCCCCCGCTGCCTCTCGCTTCCGCCGTGGACCCCCTCCCAGAGGTTCTAAAAACTACTCCCCGGGGGGCAGTGTGCGGCCTCGGCGCCCTTTGGGGCAGCTCCGTGTCTGCGGAGGGGTCTGCGTGATGGTGCCCTGGAAACGAACTAAACCCAACGCGTGACGCTTGAAATAACTCTTGTGGTGCACACTCCATGGTCGTCTGAGCCAAGTCGTGATAATGTTCGGGCGACGAGGGCTGCGAAGATGCAACGAAAGAGTCAAAAGCGGGGCGATACGTCGGAGTACTGAGGGACCACTCCGCCATAAGTATGACGCTGTTCAGCAGCAACTCCGTAGAGCGGGCGGGGTCTGCAGCGCAGCAGTTGTACTCATCGTACGGAACCGGGTAGCGAAACCTTGGCGCAATTGGGGTCCAAGAGCGCAGCAACTGAGGAAAACAATTAAATGCGATGCCTGCAGTGACCTCCAGCCTATAAAACCACTGCATCGCTTGCTGAGCAGACTCTAGCGTTTGGTACTCAGCAAACCCGACGTCGCGGCCACCAGTGCGTTTCACCCGCAGGGAGAAAAGTCCCTCATTGGGCACAAACGGCAGTAATTTGTGACTATTGTCCACAGTTGGCGGCACATTTTTTATGAAAATGGTGCGGGTTGGCGGCAAGCTTAAATTACTCGACAGCTGTGGGGAACACGGCTCCGAATGCCCCTTGGGGCGAGCACGCAATAGTGTCGTGGATGCAGCGGTGACGGTGGTGGCGGAAGGCACTGCTGCAGTGTATGTCGCACCTCGTCTTCCTCCGTCTGACGAAGAAGAGTGACCGGCACGGGGACCACGCATCTTCGGCCACATGGCGTCAAGAAGATGCACAGAAAGTCCTCCCTTTTCCCCACCCACCCACCACCCACCACCTACCCCCTCGTGTTCCCCCCGTGCAGCTCCCCCGCTGAGGCCCTCCCTGCAGCAGCCAGCCTTTCCCTGGCGTGACACACTCTGCCTGCTAGCGCTAGCGATGGGACTTTTACTGCGACACCGTCCGAGAAATGAAGGCCGCGCCCACGGGCCTATACGTGAGCTTCGGGACGGGCCGGGCACACACGCCCACACCCCAAGGCACAGCTGCGCTCGCTCAAAACCGCTCCAACTGAAGCGACAGTCGAGCCAAATGTCTCCTTTATACTCCTATTTGTTTATCCTCCCCCTCTCTAGCGCTACTTACGTGGCCTTGCACGTGTGTTTTTATGTTAATCGCAAAAAAAAGTAGAAGTAAAGACGGGATGGCAGAAAAATGAATAAATAAATAAATAATGTTTTATCCTCCCTCACGCAGCAACGCTTTCCTTCAGCTGTTGTTGCTGTTGGCCTCCCCTGCAGTGACGGAAACGGGTGAGGACGCAACCAACAAGTCATAGAGGCACGTTGAATCCTCCATGCATTCTGTGCGCACTCATTGAGACGAAGACTGACTCACATGCACGCAAGCCTCCTCCTCTCCCGTCACATTCGTCTCCCTTCCTACTTCACCTCCCCCAACAAAGGGTGATGCAACCCTCACGAAGCCCTCATGACATTCACTTTTTTTCATTTCGTTCCTTATCTTGCTCTTCTTCAGCCTCCATCCTTCTCGCTTCACCACAACCGCTGAGGAAGACGGTGCTCCCCGCGTGAATTACTATTCTACTACACAATCTTGACCACACACCTCAGCCGTTTCCCCTCCCCCCTTTACAAGCCAGAAAGGACTGCCCTGGGATTCTTCGCAGCCGCAAGCTCCAGCTTTTCGGCTTCACTTCCCATTCCAAGTTCCCGGAGTTCCTGCGCCACCGCCAGCGCCACCGATTTGAAGCTGTGTCCCGCGGATACCTTGTTACCGCTAACTGTATGATACGTGCGGCTGGCTCCTCCCATCGCTCCGGCATAGGCCAATTCGATTTTCTCCGTGAGTGACACGTCGTTCAGAAGCACCACGCCAAGGGACTCGGGGTGCACAAGAAGCTGGTTGGTAACAACAGATGTGTTTTGCACTTCTGTTGTCATCCCCGCGGCCTCAATCGCCTCCGTTGAGACCTTCCTGAAGAGGTCGTTGACATTATTGTACTTCGTTGCCTGCTTCAGCACAAGGGTGACACGATTCACACCAATCCTTCTTGCATTTGCCACTGCCACCTCCGCGCTCTTCTTAAAGGAATCCGTGGCAGCCTGCACCTCGGCATCCATGCTGATACCTGCAGAAGGAAACACGTCAAGCGCGTCACGCAGCTGCACCTTTTCAGGCGAAGAACGAGGCAGAACGGCGCGCACAAGCACCGTCTTGACACCGGCGTACGCCGGGTCCGGCGAGGCCGGCGCGGTAGTTACTGACGTGTGAACACCAGCAGGCGTCTCCGGCCCCACCACCACAGCATGCTTTTCCGCCACCGAGGCAGCTGTTGCGCTAAGCTTTCCGGCGGTGGCCTTATTGACGATAGCGGTGGCCGCCTGCAGTAGTGCCGCGGAAGCCCCCGCAGAGACGACAGAAAGCTGCTTCGACATGAAGGAAGAGAAATAAGCCAACGAAAGAAAACAAAAAAAACCTTGTAAAACGACCTCCCGCCTGTGCAAAATGACCGCTAGCCGCAAGAAGAAGAGGAAGAACCGGAGAAAGGCATAGCAAACAAGGTAGAAAGAATAACAGCAGGCGCGGCCAGCAGCCAGGCGGCGTGGAGGACGGCGGAAGCGCAAACCTCCCTCCCTCACGCGGCGGTAGATGTTCTCTTTCGTCTCCTTCCCTCCTCGCACTCAGGGGCATTGTTCCGAGCTGGAGGGATGTGTGGGGGTCGTAGGCCCCCAAACGTGACAAAAAAAACGGGAGTGAGGGTGTACCTCCACCGCTAGTCCTCGTCAGGTGCCCTGCGACCCAAAATTCGTAGGTGTCCAGCAGCTCC